GGTACGCCTATCCCGAACTTGATTTCGTATGTTAAGCAAAGTACGGGGAGTTGATCTTCTCTCGGTTGAAATTGTATTTTCCACTTGTGAACTTCTGCTCGATTCACCTTCTTCAAACTGAGAAGTATCGTACAAAGTGTATCCATGACGCTCGTTTTCTACTATCATATTGTGTAGAATGACACAGGTTCGCATAATCATCCCTATTTGTCTTTTGTCCCAGAAAACAGCAGGATTTTTCACTATCGCAAATCGAGCTTGCAATACTCCAAAAGCACGCTCCACATATTTTCGGGTTGATTCTTGAACTTTAGCAAATAACTCAGCTTTAGGACTTTGAGGGAGTGAGATAGATTGGATAAATGTTGACCATTTAGGATATATACCGTCCGTCAGGTAGTACGCCAATTCATATTGGTGTCCGTTGACCATGTACTGCACTCTTGGTGCTCGACCTTCGTAAATGTCATCAAAAACATGTGACCGATCGAGGATGTTAATATCGTTTAAAGTACCTGGAAGACCGAAAAAAGCATGCCATATCCAAAGATCTTGGGACGCAACAGCCTCTAGGACAATCGACGGCTTGCCTGATCCACGTGTGTACTGGCCTTTCCAAGCGGTTGGGCAATTTTTCCACTCCCAGTGCATACAGTCAATGCTTCCTATCATCCCCGGGAAACCGCGTAGCTCACCAATATCGAGTAGTCTTTGAAGATCCTCTGAAGTTGGTCTTCGTAGATATTCATCTCCGAAGAACTGTATTATGCCTTCTGTGAAATTGGCTAAACACGAAAGTGATGTGGTTTCAGCAAGGCGAAGATATTCGTCAACCGCGTCAGCCGCAGAGCCGTAAGCAAGCATACGGATAGCTGCCGTACACTTTTGAATTGGAGATAGACCTAATCTTCCGGCTGCATCTCTTCTTTGTTGAAAGAATGGAAGATTTGATGAGAGGGTGTCGACAATACGCATGAATACTTCCTTGTTCATGCGAAAACGGCGTCTGAATAAATGCGGCGGAAAGGTTGGATCTTCACTAAAGTAGTCATTCCATAGACGGTTGTGACCCGCTTCTCGATTACGATCGATAAATGCACGTTTCCTCGTTTTTGTTAGATCATCGACAAGGCTGTTGAATGTTTCTTCAAAATATTCTTCGAATGCCGCATCTATTCTTTCATCCACTTCATCGGCCATCTAAAAATTCATAACCCAACATGAAATTAGCATCTAAAAATTCATAACCCAACATGAAAATGTATCACCTCATTTAAAAAAATAAAAAAGCACAAGTAGAGTTCAATGATGAGGGAAAAAAATAGATATGGATTACTTCAGTTTAAATGCATATTTGTTTTCTCGTTGAGGATTAGTTCAGTTTAAAAACAAAAAAACTTGAGAGATGGTAGATTGAGAGATGGTAGATTGAGAGATGGTAGATTAGTTCAGTTTAAAAACAAAAAAAAAGAACAACTTGCATTAATTAACTTGTTTAGTCGATTACCTTTGTGTGTTTTCCAAATCAAAGGAGATACAAAGCTTTGTGTGTTGATTAAATCAAAGGAGATACAAAGGATAGCAAAACAAATGTATCAAAGGAGATACAAAGGATAGCAAAAGAAACTTTTGTTTTAGTGAAGGAAGAGCATACGAGAGACAAACATACTGTTTTATAAAGACAACAAGGGACACACATAAATATAAGACAAACATACTGTCTTATAAAGTAGTCAAGGGGACGCAACCCGTGACAAACATACTGATATGTTGAGCCACACACCGATGAGGATTAAATCCTCCTTCGGTGACCACTTCCTCCTCTCTTTGCCAGTAGACACACCAGACACACCAGCCACACCAGACACACCCGACACACCCGACCCACTAGACACACCAGACACACCAGACACACCCGAACTTTGACTGGAAAAGAAAATAGTTTCCCCTGAGTCAAGGTCAATTGTCCCTTGACTCGTTAATAAGTTAACAAAGCTATTGGTGTTGGCCATTGATGAAGAACTCTGTGTTTCTCAACCGGAAACACAGACTATTAAATAAGCGATTGAACTAAACTTGCTATTAAAACCTAGTAGGTAACAGTCTAGTCAAAGCAGCTCACGCACAATTTAATGAAGTTTAAGTATAAAAAAGCAGTGCAGTTAGCCAAAATTAAATGGTGGTTTGGTGTGCATTAACAATCCTATTTATTTTCTACTATTCTTAACTACAAAGGTACAAGTATACACGGATATTTTAGACAAAGAGTAGGCATGTTTAATTCTCAACAACCAAAAACACAACAGCTCAGATACATTAACACCACAAGTATTCACAACTACCAAGTTTATTTCAAACTAAAACAACAAGTATTCAAAGCTGCCAAGTTTATTTCAAACTAAAACCAAAACTATTCAAAACTGTCAAGTTTATTTCAAACTACAACCTACGGAGCTCAGATACATTAACATATAAATTAACACTAACCTTATGTGCCGCGGTGTCTTTCAAGTTCAGTTACACGCAAAAGAAGCATCTTCACTTGGCCCTGCACATACATCAAACAAATCAGTACTCGTGGTATAAAGTTAATTAAGTATAAACACTAACCTTAAGTGCCTCGCACTCTCTCAGAAGCTTCTCCTGCTGGTGAAACTTTTGTTTCAGCCTCTCAACCTCTTCTTCCATCCCCATAACCCAAGGTTGCCTGAAATGGAGTCCATCATTCTGCCAAAAGATAAAAAGAGTTATNACATACATCAAACAAATCAGTACTCGTGGTATAAAGTTAATTAAGTATAAACACTAACCTTAAGTGCCTCGCACTCTCTCAGAAGCTTCTCCTGCTGGTGAAACTTTTGTTTCAGCCTCTCAACCTCTTCTTCCATCCCCATAACCCAAGGTTGCCTGAAATGGAGTCCATCATTCTGCCAAAAGATAAAAAGAGTTATAAACTTCCAAGTAAATATAGAAGCATGAGACAGAATTTTAAAGTTAGAAGGAGGTAGATAAAAAGAATGATCAGACCTCGTAGTCTTTGCAAATGAAATATCGTTTTCCAGGTAGATAGTCATATGAATCCTCCTCATCTACTGTCTCCTTCATGATAGCTCCACAGGCGCACAACTTGGGGATCCCGTGTTGCGCGTCGGTTACACACTGAAGCATATTGTAGTATGCTTTACGAGCTTTCTCCTCTCGCAGTTCTTCCTCCATTTCACAACCTACGAGCACACACACATATAATTGTATCAGAAACACTTAATCAACACAAACAAAAACAAGAAAGCAAATCAAATAAACGAATCAAACAGAACAAAATTGCTAAATAAAACGGAAACCATAAATCGATTATAATCCCAAAATCGATTTACAACTCGACCAAAACCCGTTAAATGACTCGAAAACGAGATGAAAACAACAAAGAACAGAATTATAAAGAAGCTAATTGAAAAACGAAACGAAAACCCTAATTCCATTTGAATCCCCAAATCGATTTACAACTCGACCAGAACCCGTTAAACGACTCGAAAACGAGATGAAAACAACAAAGAACAGAATTATAAAGAAGCTAATTGAAAAACGAAACGAAAACCCTAATTCCATTTGAATCCCCAAATCGATTTCGAACTCCCAATCGACAAAAACCCTTGAAATCAACATGCATGATCACGATCTACAAAGTTAATAACTAAAAACCATCCGATTTACCTTCAACGATCTCGATCTCGACTTTCTCCTTTCGAATCGCCCTTCGCCTATCGAGTCGCCCAGAGAGAAAGCAGTGTCATTTTTTTTAAAGACAATTCGGTGAAATGAAAAAATGTATTTCCTCCACCCGAAACAAACCCAAAACGACGTCGCTATAGGTTAAGAATTTTGCTTTCATAAATCCTTCGCGAAGGATTAATTGCCTCAGTAACTTAGTTTTTAATTAATATTTAAATCACAACTGACAAGGATTTTTGCTAAGGATTAGCTAAAATCCTCCATTGGACGTGCTCTTACATCTTGTCTTGTCTTGTACTATCTTGTCTTTCGAAAGATATTTCTTTCTCTATCATTTATGTTTACACACTGCATATAAAAATCGTGCACTATTAACGGTGCCTAGTGCAAGAAAATAACATGACATAACTGTAGGGTAACGAGAGTTAATTGCATATATAAGTTAAATAGTTTTTGTTGAAGAAATTAGATATATATCATCAACTCATTTTTTTATTATTTAATTACTCAAACATATAACATGAATTTGTTATAAGGCAATGAAACGACCGTATGTTCTTTTTTGATGAAAAAAATGTAAGAAAATAAATAGCTGTGTAATACCTTGAATTAATTGGTAAATTACGTTTCCAAGTATTTGAAATTTAATTTTGGTTGTGCTGTGCTTATGGTATTAACAAAGTTAATACTAGACTACGCTTTCAAATATAGAAAAGAATATCACCTAATGAGGAATGATATCACTTGGGGAGAAGTAATGATTTTTTTCCATTTGCTGAGAGAAATTCATATTCTTCTGCTGCTGTGTTTTCCCTAATAATATCCAAAATTATTCATTGCATATCTACCTCTAAATTTATGGCACCATATAAGTATGAACACACTGTCAGAGAAACAGCAAATTTGACTTCGTACACCCACGCTTCTCACGAGTACATTTTAATTACTATAACTCAAATCAAACCGAAACATGACATGATTAAGGGAGAGGCTTGTTAGCGGGAGTTGTATTTTATCAAAGTTGTCAGTTAAAGACTTAAAGCTAATTTTTGATTAAAATAAATTTCTGAATGTAATTTAAAATCACCAAACCAATAAAATAAATTTTATTAAAATATATAACTAACAATGGTAGGTAACATTAAAATTACTATAATTCATAAGCAATTGAAAATTATAATAATTAACAAAAGTTCAACTCTCTTTTACCCCCCTACAAATCAGAGATTTGTTTTTAATCAAAACAAAGAATTATATATAGCTGATAAGAGGGCAATTCTCATCCAATAGCCAACCCCTTCAAGAAAATAAAAACCCAAAAATTTTCAATGTCTGGTCCGTCAGAACCATTGTTGTTGTCTCATGTCGGCGCCGATGATTCCGATGTCGACCACAAAACCAGACCAGAAGAGTTGACTTTCGACAACATTGTTGAACAAAGTCTATCAGACTTTGGGTTCTGGCAACTATTCCAGGTACTCCTCGTTGGACTCGCATTGCTCTTCGATGCTCAGCAGATTTTCATCACCGTCTACACAGACGCATACCCCACGTGGCACTGTCTTAACCACACGATCTGTGATCCTTCCGCCAACATCTGCCAGCTCCCAAGATCAGCCTGGGAATGGGACGGTGGCTCCAAGGACAGATCCGTCATTTCAGAATTCGGACTCGAGTGCTCGAGCTCATTATTCCAAGGTATGCCTAGCTCTGCTTTCTACATTGGTGCCATCGTTGGAGGATTCGTTCTAGCTTTGATTCCAGATGGTTCCTTGGGGCGCAAGAAACTTGTTGTCTTCTCTACCTTTGCAATGTCAGTTACGTCTATCTCTATTATCTTCTCAACCAACGTATGGATCTACACAACCCTAAAGTTTGTCATAGGGTTCTCGAGATCACAGACATGGTCTTATGCACTGGTTCTCATCAGTGAGCGAGTCTCCACAAGATGGAGACCGAGAGCTACCATGATTCCATTTACCTTTTTCGTTTTAGGGTTTATGTCGTTGTCTGGAATCGCTTTCCTTGCTCAACACTCTTCATGGAGATATCTCTATCTCTACACAGCCGTTCCCGCAATATTCTACTGTATCTTCCTCTACTTTTTTGCACTTGAATCACCACGGTGGCTTCACATGCAAGGAAACAACGAAGAAGCTATTCACGTTCTCAAAAGCCTGTCATCTAAGAACAAAACCTACTTGGAGTCTTTAGTTTCTCAGTTACCCCTGGTGCAAGAAACCGTTGAAGAGCTGCCTAGGTACACGATTAAGGACTTCTTCTTCCGAAAGTGGGCTTTTAGGAGGATTGTAGTTGTTATGATCATAATGTTTGGATTGGGAATATCATACTACGGAGTTCCTTTAGCAGCTAGAGACATAGACGTCAACATCTACTTGAGCGAAACCCTAAACGCAGTGGTAGAATTGCCTACTTTCGTTATCACTCCAATCTTGTTGGAGAGGTTCAACAGAAGAAGCTCTGTTCTAGTGAATACATTACTCGGTGGAGCCTCGGGAGTGCTTTGTTTCGTTCTAAGCGTTCTCGGAAGAACAGGGATGGCGTTTGCGTTTGAGCTAGCGACATTTTTCTGTGCAAGAATCGGATTCAACCTAATGGCGGTTTATATGGTTGAAATGTTTCCCACTTGTGTGAGAAGTACTGCAACAATGATGTTTAGACAGGCTCTTGTTGTTGGAGGAGCTTGTTGTCCGCTCATTGCTTCCATAGGAAGAGATCTACCATCAGTATCCTTTGCCATTTTCGGAATTGCAATGTCTGGTTTTGGATTGTTCGCTTTGATTCTACCTGAGACAAAAGGTTCAAGTCTTTGTGATACAATGGAAGAACAAGAAAAGAGAGATCAAGCCATAAGCACTAGCCATTGTTGATGAATTATAAAAGTTAAGCCTATAAAATGCTCTATCTTCATATGTTTTCAAATATTGTATGTGGTGTCTGTGTTGATGCAAAAGACTTATAAGAAGTGAGTTGAAGTATTGTTGTGTAAACCTAAACAATATTTGATACTCATCCACAACGCTATCAAATGAGCGTCTATGTCTTTGAACTAGTAACACAGCAAACAACCTGCCAAATTGGAGTAAGAAACCTACAAATTTACATTACCAAATATACAAAAAGTGAGAGAATCTAAAATAAACGCTAGTTCTACAAATTTACATTACCCCAAACCAAGTTATTAGACCTTCCTCAAAACAGCCCCCTCTTCCCTCTAAGGAGAGAAGCTTTAATCTCATAGCTTTATCCACCATCTTAACCAAACTGTCAATATATCTAGGTTTCTCATCATGTCTTCGCACATTTCTCTCCCACCAAATAATGTAGATTGTGGCTTGAAAGATATATCTGAGGATGAAAGTTTTTATAGGCGTGATCCAGGAGTTCAAAACAATGCTTATCAGCTCATTCCAGTTCAGAGTAAACACATCTTTCATTAGCCCTTCCACCAGTCTTTTCCAAACCACACCAGAGAATCGACATCCCAAAAATAAGTGAATGCAACTTTCTGGAGCATCATTACAAAGAACACAGCTTGCGTTGATAGAGCTGTTCCAATGTAGCATTCTGTCCGTAGTTTGCAATCTTCGATTAATAGCAACCCACATAGTGAACGCATACTTACGTGTAGATTGCGCAAACCAAACCCTTTTGTGCCAAGCACAATTTTGCTTCACTTCCCGAAATTGATTCCAAGTTTTGCTTGTCGAGAAATTATACTTTGAGAAAGCAAAAAAGCAAGTGATAAAAACATAAAACTCCACTTGTTACTATTACATCACAAGTATCATCTTTAAATCTATTTTGAACAAGTAAAAAGCAAATGATAAAAACATAACACTCCACTTATTAAGATTCGAAAGATCAATAAGTAAAAAACAAATATAAGTTTTCTAAACACGTATCAAAAATCTAGTGATGATCTTAATAAAGTTACTACGTTTTCAAGTATAAATCTACCTCTCCAAAATTATTTTAAATTATTCATCTAAAAAACATTCAAAGAGTTGATATATATATATATATAAAAGTTTAGGTTTCCAATTAATCGTAAAAGAAGCTTTTGTTTAAATTTACTTTAAAATGTTTATAAAGTTTGTCTATGCTACTAAGACCAACATTATTGCAGTACTTAGGTCAAGTATTTAAAGGGGAGGGTGAACCACAAAATCAACAAAACCAAAGAGGACCAAGAGGGAGAAGTCGCTAATTAAGAAACGTCCTTACTGTGTCTTTTGCATTGCGTTTTTTGCATTGTTTGCGTGTTCTACGACACGTAGCAGTCCGCGTTTGGTTCACTGTTTTTTTTTAACAGAAAAAAACAAAAATAAATTTAAGGACCTAATAACCTGGATAATGATGCTCTAAGAATCAAATATTTGTTTTAAGTAATTAGTAATTACTATGTGGTACCATACTACTACACTTATGGCACGACCTATAAGTATGAACGCCATTAAAAAAGAGCCAGCCAATTCGTAATAAACTGAATTTCATCCTTTGACTTCGCCGACCAACGTTTCTCACGAGCAGATTTTAAAATACTATTATACACATACTTAAACTGCAACACGTCGACCCACGCTTTTCACCACTATCAAACTGAAACACGTAATGGTTAAAGATCTAAGATTTGTACTTAATGGTAGCACAGATTCAGATTTCAAATTCATATATAGCTGATAAGAAAACGCTATTATTATCCAATAGCCAACCTCTTCAAAAGAAAAAAAAATTTAAAAACCCAAACAATATTAATGGCTGACCAATCAGAACCACTGTTGCTATCTCATATATAGGCCTGGGCATCCGGGTCCTCGGGTCGGGTTCGGGTCGGGTCTTGTCGGGTCCGGGTCGGTTCGGGTCTATAATTTCAATACCCGTAAAATACCCATAATTTTCGGGTATACTTCGGATCCGGGTCGGTTCGGGTATTTAGGACCCGAAAAGGACCCGAATAACCAAAGTAGACCCGATAACCCGAAAATTACCCGAAGAACCACCGCAATACCCGAAAATATCCAAAAATTATAAAAAACCAGACCCGAAAACCCAAAAAATACCCGAAATTTTATCCAAATACCCGAATTATATTTTCTGAAAATCTAAAATTTTACCCGAAAACTAAAATTATACCCAAAAACCCGAATCCGGAAATTTTAAAAATACCCGAAATACCAAAAATATACCCAAACACCTAAATATACCTTATATATACAATAATTTGCGGGTACTACGGGTACCCGAACGGGTCTCGGGTAGGACCTGAACCCGACCCGAGACCCGCGGGTCCAAAGAAAACGGACCCAATAGGTACTTCAGCATGGACCCGGACCCGAACCTGTATTTTCGGGTCGGTTCCGGTTCGGGTCTTCGGGTCCGGGTAAAATGCCTAGGCCTACTCATATAGGCGACGATGAATCTGACGTCAACGACAAAACCAGATCGAAAGACTTGACTTTCGACAACATTGTCGAACAGAGTCTATCAGACTTTGGGTTCAGGCAACTCTTCCAGGTACTCCTCGTTGGACTCACTTTGCTCTTCGATGCTCAGCAGATATTCATCACTGTCTACACAGACGCATATCCCACGTGGCACTGTCTTAACCACACAATCTGCGATCTTTCCGCCAACATCTGCCAGCTCCCAAGATCAGCCTGGGAATGGGACGGTGGCTCCGAGGACAGATCCGTCATTTCAGAATTTGGACTCGAGTGCTCGAGCTCATTACTCAGAGGTATGCCTAGTTCTGCTTTCTACATCGGTGCCATCGTTGGAGGATTCTTTCTAGCTTTAATCCCAGATGCTTCCTTGGGTCGCAAGAAACTAGTTTTGTTCTCAACTTTTGCAATGTCCATCGCTTCCATATCTATTGTCTTCTCAACCAACGTATGGATCTACACAACCCTAAAGTTTGTGATCGGGTTCTCGAGATCACAGACGTGGTCATATGCGCTGGTTCTAATCAGTGAGCGAGTCTCCACAAGATGGAGACCAAGAGCTACCATGATTCCATTTACCTTTTTCGTTTTAGGGTTTATGTCGTTGTCTGGAATCGCTTACCTTGCTCAACACTCTTCATGGAGATATCTCTATCTCTACACATCCGTTCCCGCAATATTCTACTGTATCTTCCTCTACTTTTTCGCGCTCGAATCACCTCGCTGGCTTCACTTGCAAGGAAAGGATAAAGAAGCCATTCATGTCCTCGAAAGCCTGTCACCGAAGAACAAAGCCTACTTAGAATCAGCAGTTTCTCAGTTACCCCTGGAGCAAGAAACATCTGAAGAATTGCCTAAGTACTCGATTAAGGACTTTTTAATCCGAAAGTGGGCCTTTCGGAGGATTCTAGTTGTTATGATCATATTGTTTGGATTGGGAATATCATACTACGGAGTTCCATTAGCAGCTAGAGACATAGACGTCAACATCTACTTGAGTGAAACCCTAAACGCCGTGGTAGAGTTGCCTACTTTCGTTATCACTCCAATCTTGTTGGAGAGGTTCAACAGAAGAAGCTCTGTTCTAGTTAACACCTTACTAGGTGGAGCCTCGGGAGTTCTCTGTTTCGTTCTTAGTCTTCTAGGAAAAACAGGCATCGCTTTTGCGTTTGAGCTAGCGACGTTTTTCTGTGCAAGAATCGGATTTAACCTAATGGCGGTTTATATGGTTGAAATGTTTCCCACTTGTGTGAGAAGTTCCGCAACAATGATGTTTAGACAAGCTCTTGTTGTTGGAGGAGCTTGTTGTCCGCTCATTGCTTCCATAGGAAGAGATCTACCATCAGTATCCTTCGCCATATTTGGAGTTGCAATGTCTGGTTTTGGACTGTTCGTTTTGATTCTACCTGAAACAAAAGGTTCAAGTCTCTGCGATACAATGGAAGAACAAGAAAAAAGAGATCAAGCCATAAACACTAGCACATGTTGCTAAGTGTAAAGAGTTTGTTATATGTTTTCAAATCTTGATGTATACCATATGTGATTCAAGAAACTGATAATAATAAGATTGTTGTGTAAAAACACTAAAGAGTATTTGCTATTCATCCACAAAGATATCAAATGAGTGTCTATGTCTTTGAACTACTAATACAGAAGCATTTACATCCATATTTGATGAAGCCAAGAAATCTCCGACCGTTCCTAGTTCCGGACACTCTTCCCAATCGTTCATCCCTGACGTCATTAGGCAATCTCCTCTGTTTTTCCCCACAACAAATAGTGAATACATCTCTCCTATCTCTCTCAGAATCGTCAGTGTTTGCAATCCGTTGCTTACTCTCTTCTCTATGAATCCAACTTGCCCCGTAGTTACATATCTGCCAAAACAAACCATTACCAGTCCGGTCAATGAAACAAAATGCAATGTTTCTAGTCTAGAAAGACACATAAACATCATATACATGGCCGGTCCTATACAAAACCTAATAAAACATTTATCTTGACCCCCAAACTTTTACGGACTAATATAATTTTATTTAGTTAAAAATTATTTAAAATGTTATGACTCCTTAAATTTCAGGATCGATTATTAGAGCATGATTGACCCATGATTTTTAGGATGGGTTTCTTAGTTAAAAGTTAAGAAACAGTCTTTTAACTTCCGCTAAGAACCTTATCATAAGAACCCGGGATAATCATGGTCTAAAGCATATATAGAAGTCCAAATTTTGTAAAGTACCTGTTAAAGAATTCCTCTAAGAAAATTCGATCAGTTTCGTCGTTTGTTTTATCGTTACCAACAATCTCCATTAAGACATCGTTGTTTTCTTTGGTCACCGCATCTCCGACAAGATTCTCTGCTCCCGAACCATCTGCTACAAACTGTATAATAGTGAGGTGAATCTGAGAGTTATTAATAAGCCACTGGCACAAAGACAAAGCCTCACGATCATCAGGACCACCAAAGAACAATGCAGCAACATGTTGTACCGAATCAAACCCGTGAAGCTGGTGAAACCCGGTTATGTTTCTATCCACAAAGATACCGATAGAACACTGTGCTTGCTTTAAAACCTTCCGGTTCATATCTCTAAACACTTCCCCATCGTTTGTAGTTTTCCCATCGATCCTCTGGTGTTTATGGAACGGAAGAAACACGATGGAGACGCGAAGATCTTCACTCCCGTTACATATCTCCTCGTGCATGTTCTTCATCAGCGCTACTCGTTTCACTTGCCTGATCATTACCTTTCTGTCTCTAGTGAATGAATCTATCGAGTCGTTGATCTCTAGGCCTTCGTTGGTTCCAAACTCATCGTCTCCGCCACTGGAGTTTAATCCATCTTCGTCTAGCTCGTGGTACAATAGCGCTGTTTTTCGCTTCTTGGAAAGGGGTATGAGGTGCATGAGATAAGGTGTGAACGGTGAGGAAGAAACTCCATTTAGAGCGGAGATTAGAGAGATCAGTCCACGAGCTTGACGCACACCGTAGACGCAAGTCAGCACACGTAGCTCCTCTTTGGTGTCGTGGAACTCAAGGGATGTTTTTAGGTGTGAGAAACCCTTTTCTTGCGCTCTAAGTAATAAAGAAGATATTACTCCGCTTAATAAAGTCGTGATCACCAATGTCGCAATGAACATATCATGAATTATTGGAGTAAACCATTTCTACAAAGAGAACAAAATAATCAGGTAACATATACAAGATTATTAACTAACTAATAACTAAAAAGCAAGAAAATTTTAATAAATAGCATTTTTCGTTTTTGTCATAAATACAGACTAAATAGTACTTTAAAAGAAAAAGATATAAAATAATATATATTAATTAACAAAAATACTAAATTACCTCGCATCCTAGATTCTAATCTTAATTTCGCTTCATAAATACTAAATGATAATCACTAAACTCAAATTCATTAAAAAAAATTAAAGGTTTTTTTTTTACTTTTAATTAATTCTATTTTGGTTAAAAAAATTGTGTGTTATTTTTGAAGAAAAAAAAAATTTAGTGATATTTAAGAGTATTTCTCTATAATGTAATACCTTGTAGGTCAAGTTAGAGTCCAGGAGAACCAGACCAATATGACCTTTAACTGAAAGAATGGTAGACAAGAAAAGCCAATACTTCTTTGGGATCTTAAGGTATAAACATGCGCATAAGACTCCTAGAAGCTTCGCAACCATGCTCAGAGCCACTGTCAAACCTAGGGCTAGGAAATGACGTTTGGTTAGAGAGTGGACGCTGAATCTAAACCCAATGTAACCAAAGTAAACCGGAAGAACAAACTCGTGAATAGGGTAACTCAGCCGGTTGATCAACGTTCTATAAGTTTTACCTCCTCTTGGAAACGTTAATCCAATCAAAAACACAAAACCTGTTGAGTTTATGTTGCTGGATTCAATGGTTAACGCGATTATCAGAATAAGGATGAAGAAAGCAAGCGTTTCAGCTTTGGATAGGTACTTCTCTTTAGGGCTTCTTTTAGGGAGCCATGAAGCTAAGAATCTATTGATGAAGATTATAACGACCGTGGCACATGTGTAGGCAAAGATGTCTCCCATCATCTTCCCGGAGATGTAAGCTATGACCATAGTGTAGATGAATATGTTGGTTACTTCAATAAACAATCCGCAGGAAATTGCTAGCCGTCCGATCTCAGATGTGTGGAGTTTCCAATCAATGATTGAGCGGATGACCACAGGAGATGCCGTGTTGGATAAGGTAACGAGGAAGGCTACGTACAAGGTTAAGAAGTCCCCTTTGAGATGTAGAAAACGGACGATGAACCAGAGGAAAGGGATCCAGATGATGGCACAAGAGACTAAGGATCCCAAGGTTATGACAATGGAGTTCTTTAAGTTTCGTTTCATGAAGTCAAGATCAAGTTCAAGACCGATCAAGAACATGAAACATGTTCGTAGAAGAAATGAGAAAAATATGTAGTAGCTTGCTGAGTCTTTTTGGAGGAAGAAATCGTGGACGGTTTTGATTATTGTGAGCAAACTCAATACAATCCCAGCCTGAATATAACAATAAAAATGTTTAGTTTCTGAATAATCCTCACGTATAGGGTCTAAAGAGAAGGCAGAAAACTTACGAGAATCTGAGCAACGGGACCGGCTTGGCCACAGGGTTTAAGGAAGATATAGAAGAACTGAGAGAAGACGAGAATGCAAGCCATTTGGATAAACATTGTATTGAGTGGATTAAACAATGCATCTCCTTCTGGTAAACATAACAACATTTTTGGATCCATTTTCTTGATTTGGTTCTGAGCATTCTCCAAAGATTCGAACAACACAAAAGAAAAACTAAAAATTTGTGAAAGAAACTTAGATTTATTGTAAAGCGAAGAATATATATATTTTTTGGAAATATTTTCAGTGTTTTAATTTTTCCTTACTTTTGGTTGGCGTTGCATTTACTGGTTTACGTGATTATCCTTCTATTACTCCATGCCTCTAACTTTTGCTATTTATTTTTTGAAATTGTTAACATAACTAGTGTTCGTCATTAAAAGCGGACAATTTTACTTCGGAAAGTGCATGGAACATACCTTCGGTATTTTCTTACAAGTGCGCCAATCTATACATGAAACAAAACTATTTCTCCTAAGTTTTTGTACTTTATTAAAGATCTTTTTACTTTAAAATATAGAGTTTACTTAAGCTTCCAAATGATCAAACCATATACATTTTAAAAGACATCATATCTCCCATGCCTTGTCAAGCAAGATTAAGCTTATCTTGTAAAGCTGCAGCAACTACCTAGTGCAACTTGATGATTATACAGTAGTTACATAATTTATGTACTCTTCTTAAAATAAGATATCAAGGAAAAAAATATATAGAGATGTTCAGATAAATATGTGTATTACAATTCACATCAAGAAACGAAAAACAAATCATCAAGAAAAGCAAGGTTTGAAAAAACGTAACTTAAAACATTTATTAAGTTCATTTATTTACATGTTAGTCAAGATATAAACTATGAGCATTTTTAATGAACTGCTGATGTAATGTTTCTAGATTAACATTGACTACATATACCAATGGAAATTCGATATACAGAGGATCTATAAACGTGGTTACCTACCCAAGAGCTCCCTTTTACTTTCTAGTCAAAAATCTATTTCCTTTGTACTAAATCACTTTTTGCCATCTCTATGCTCTTTTTCAATTGTTTTCATAATTTCTTTTAATACATGTATTCTTCATTTTTGTCCAGTTTTGTTTACTAATATCCTTTAATATTTCTTGCTTCTTAAAAAAAAAACTACTTAAAAAGGCCATGCATAACTCAAAACATCTCCAATGTATTTTTTCAAACAAATATTTTACTCTAATTTATTTCTCTAAAATAGCTTATCTCTATAACTAGAGTTAAAAATAGAAAATGCTATTTCTTTATCTATTTGTAAAATAGCAATAGCGATTTTTATTAGACAAAAAGAAATATAGGTAGCTGAGTAGGTGTTTCAAAAAAAAGGTAGCTGAGTAGATTTTCCTCTAATGTTATTATACAGATAAAATATTAAAATAGATTGGAGATACTCTAGAAGAAAACAAACGTGAATCCATTTTTAATTCATATTCAAATCATAATTTTGTTTCAGAGCTAACATATACCATAGTTTTATATACATACATGCATGAAACCAATAGATTGATCTCAATTATTAAAAATATTAAACATATCCCAATTAAGAGTAGTGGTCTTGGAAATTACTTTTGTCATCAAATATCAGCAAATCAGTTTGAGACGTGTGGGTACCCAACCTATGAAGAACCCTCATGATGACCTCCCGGATCAGCCTTATATAGGAGAGCCTCCACCCAACGACTACAGACTTTAGATAGTGTACATTGGGGCGTGATATGTGTATCTCTCGAGACCGTGCCATATATGCTCCAGGCACAATTTTTTTGACGTTCACATTTGCTAGCCATGCTTAACCAAAAAAAAAGTGTTAGCCATTCCAACCCGACGATCTACGTACTTCCTACATGCTACATGCTCGCTATAATTAGCAGAACTATACATGCTCAAAACTTAGTTAGCTATATCCATTCACCATTTCTTTCAATCCATTTGCATTAATTTTATAAAGACTAATAAACTTCTTTTTCTTTTTGTTAACCTACTTAAATTTTTTTTGGGTAAAAACCTACTTAAAATTGTTTTCATTTATTAGTTAAACTTTACTATACCGCTTTATAACCGCATACATATATTTTGATAACAAACGTTCAACTTTAAATAAAACTAACTTAAAATCCTTTATATATCAAAAAAAACTTTTTGTTTACTGCTTACATTTTTATTTTTTTGCCATCTATTTTATTGAAATAAATCAATCTATGTTACTATAAATATTACAACTGCGCTGGAACATTCATTTCAATATACTCCATATAATAATCATTTGATAAAATATAATAAATACATTGGTGATTTTGTCTCTAATATATTCCATATGTTGTGTTGACATAAATGAGATTGAATGTCTCACTTATTATTACGTGCACAATATATTGGTGATTTGTTTATGGTAAGTACTAATTACGTTTTCGTAACTGTAAATCTTTACACATAAATGGCCATTATTCCATATCCATGATTGAAATATTGCAGAACATTAAAGATATCGATGAACAATTTCTATTAAATTTTCACCCCTGCGCGGGTTATCAAACTTACTATTCAACATGATCATTCGCTGGAAATTAGATACAAAATATATAAACGTGATTTCCCTAGTACCTACCCATAAACCCAAACGCTCACGTGAGCATCACATGCATGATATCGAATCTATAAATACTATACACACGAGAGAAACTTTCCCAAACTTGTTAGTGTTCACTGCTAACGAGCACACAACTCTCTCTACACACACACACGCATCATGACAACGATGATGAGCCTTACCTCATCGTTACCATACCCTTTTCAGATCCTACTAGTCCTTATCATCTCCTTGGCATCAATCACTTTGCTTGGCCGAATACTATCAAAACCCGCCAAAACCAAAGACCGGTCTCGTCAGCTTCCTCCTGGACCACCAGGATGGCCCATCCTCGGCAACTTACCCGACCTAATGAGGACTCGTCCTAGGCACAAATATTTCGAGATTGCCACAAAAGGACAAAAACCGGATATCGCATGTTTCAACTTCGCTGGAACCCACGCCATCATCATAAACTCCGACGAGATCGCTCGAGAAGCGTTTAAAGAGAGAGACGCCGACTTCGCAGACCGGCCTAATCTTTTCAACATGAGAACCATCGGAGGCAATCACAAATCAATGGGGAACTCACCATACGGTGAACAGTTCATGAAGATGAAAAGAGTGATCACAACGGAGATTATGTCGGTCAAAACATTAAACATGTTGGTAGCTGCGAGGACCATTGAAGCGGATAACCTCCTTGCTTACCTTCTCTCGATGTACCAACGGTCCGAGACGGCTGACGTTAGAGAGTTCTCGAGGGTTTATGGTTACGCAGTGACCATGAGATTGTTGTTTGGAAGGAGACATGTCTCGAAAGATAACGCTTTCTCCGACGAGGGAAGGTTAGGACCAGCGGAGAAAGATCATCTTGATGCGATCTTTGAAACACTAAACTGTTTGCCGAGTTTTTCTCCGGCGGATTACTTGGAAAAATGGTTTAGAGGTTGGAACATTGATGGTCAAGAGGAGAGAGTGAGAGTGTATTGTAATAAAGTTCGAAGTTACAACAATCCGATCATTGACGAGAGGGTCGCGTTATGGAGGGAGAAAGGTGGTAAGGCAGCTGTTGAAGATTGGATTGATACGTTCATTACGCTAAAAGATGAAAATGGAAAGTATTATATCACGGCTGATGAAATCAAAGCTCAATGCGTTGTAAGTAAAATCTACTATAATTGATCATATAACTACAATTACAAGAAATTATTACAAAATATTATGATTATCGAAATAATATATTGCATTAGATAGATATACTGTTGATACTATTGAAACGGTATAATAGGGATAGGTTTACATAAAAAAAAATTAAAAATATATCTTCTAGTAAAATTTAATATTTAGATTTTTGTTATATGAAGAATCAAGCTATGTTATTTGTTTTAGGATTCCATTGAATATATTGTTTGGTGAATGAAAATGAGATTTTTTTTTTATGAAGAATCAACTTTTGTTATTTATTTTGGAGACCATTAAATATATAATGTTTGGTGTTTTGTTATAGGAATTTTGTATAGCAGCGATCGATAATCCGGCAAATAACATAGAATGGACACTTGCGGAAATGTTAAAGAATCCGGAGATTTACAAAAAAGCTTTGAAGGAGTTAGACGAAGTGGTGGGAAAAGACAGGCTTGTTCAAGAATCAGACATACCAAATCTGAACTACTTAAAAGCTTGTTGCAGAGAAACATTCAGGATTCACCCAAGTGCTCATTATGTTCCTCCTCATGTGGCTCGTCAAGATACCACCCTCGGGGGTTATTTCATTCCCAAAGGTAAAAATTTACGTTTTTACCATAGTAAAGGATATGCATGGTTATAGATTATAAAAATAATCAACCAAACGTATATATAAGGAATATTGTTGATATTTTTACATGTAAATCCATGAACGTTTTTAAAAAAATTATGATGCATGTGAATATTCCACATACACATAAAAAAAAGATAACATCAAACATGTAACCAGTTGAGTCACCAATAATTGAGATATGATAAATATTTTAAGAAAGTATATATTGGTTTTGGCAGGTAGTCACATTCATGTCGGCCGTCCTGGAATAGGCCGGAGCTCCAAAGTATGGAAAGATCCATTGGTATACAAACCAGAGCGTCACCTCGAAGGAGATGGACTCTCGAAGGAGCTTTCTCTGGTTGAGTCTGAATTGCGTTTCGTGTCGTTTGGTACCGGTCGGCGTGGCTGCGTCGGTGTGAAGGTTGGGACGATCATGATGGTTATAATGTTGGCTAGGTTTCTTCAAGCGTTTAACTGGAAACTCCATCCTGGTTATGGACCGTTAAGTCTAGAGGAAGATGATGCATTGCTTATGGCTAAGCCTCTTCTCTTGTCTGTTGAGCCACGCTTGGCACCCAACCTTTATCCAAAATTCTGCCCTTAGAGAAAAAAAACACATAAATAAAAAAGAAAACAAGAGGCAGTTGTTTCTCTGTTCTGTTTTACAACGGATCGTTGTTCCTATGTTATATTCACCTGGTTGTTTTAGACTATCCTTGGCCAA